TTCTAAGTTTGTAAGTGTTAAAAACTGAGAATATTCGCTCTTCTTCCATTTTCGCTAAGTTAGCTTCTCTGCACGATTTCTAAAGTGTTCTTACAATAAAGCTTCAAAGATCCGCCTCCTTAAGAAGCTTAAAAATGACAGTTTTGCATTATCCTTATCGAAGCAATAAACACATTGCACTGTTACGTTAATCAGTAGCAATGAGCATCCGCTGGTTACAGTTGCTTCTTCTCACCGTCGGCATCGTTGTTTTTGCCAAACAAAATTCAAATGTCAAGGCTCAAATCTACTCTTCTGCTCTCGAGTTTTTATCACGTGCCGTAACACATGTAGTAAGTTTTTTGAAGAATTTTCACAAGGTATGCACTATTATTACGATGTGAATAAACTATAAAGGTGGAATCAGGAGTGAACAAATTCAAATTTCGCGACATCACCTCTAACATCCGTATTGGAACCGGGACAGTGAAGTTGACCATGCATTTGGAGATTACCAAGTTCAAACTCCCAGTGTATGTCTTACAACCGCAATTAATTGGAGGAAATTTTCTGCTCTATTCCATATATACAGATTCACTGGTACTATCGACGAGAAGCTAGGTAGCGTGTTCACTTCGCGTGGAGGCATTTTGGGAGTGAAAGGCAGTTGGACTGGAAAATACAACTTCCCATTCAAGACAATCCCAATCGATGTAGGTGCTTGGATAAATTGCAAGTATCTTATCAGAGGATATAACAAGTGCTTATACCATTGACGTAGATTTTGATAGAGTTTGAGGGTAATTCACAAAATCTTAATTAGGAAAAAAATAAAAGTTACCAGCAGCAGGTAATCATTTTGTAATGATATACATGAAGTAAAATTATAACAGCTCAAATCGTATTCTTCACAGCAGTTTACCTGAGGTGAAAATTAGACGAATCCATCCGATGAAAGGAAAAGATTAGAGAGCCTAATTGCTCTTAAAACCCATAAAAAACCATAGAAAAACCTCCAATTTTCTAAGTTTTTAATAAGCAATTGATCTAGAGCAA